CAAAATGGACATCATTCAGAAACATAGGAAGACTGGCTAAGTGGAAATTCTACAACTAGCAGGAAAGAGAAAAGCACACTGAGACTCAGAGGAAGTGTGGAAGGCAGAGGTACAGAGGCACTCGCATAGAGAGGGCTAGCAACTGACTATGCTGCTGGCTTTTTTTTTAAATCAATCTTTATTGTTCATATTATTACAAAGGTTCCTCATTTCTTCCCCCCTCCACCAGTTTCCCACCCAACCCTCCGCCCCCTCCCCATCCCCCATTGTCCTCATCCATAGGTGCACAGTTTATGTTCAGTCTCTTCCTCCCTCCCTTTCCCCTATAGTAAATCCCTTTTCAGATAGTAAATCAGTTACTTAGCATTTTCTCATATCAATAATACCTCCACGTGCCCAATGATACGCTTCACACAAAAGACATTTCCAAATAGGTCAACCAGCCTCATCCAGGCCCCACCCAAGGCACTCACAGATCAACACCCCAGCACTATACTAACTCAACACATCCAGATCTAAGCCTTCATCACTTGATTCAGCAGACCCTCAAGTTCCCACAAAAGTTTCCAGCCATGTCTGAGAGGCAGCCGTGGGGCAGGGGCAGGCGAGGAGCGAGCTGTTCCGGGCCTGGCTGCTCCGGGCTTGGCCTCTGTTGCTCTAGTGTCTAGTCCATTCCACAACCAGCTGCTCCGGGTCTGGTCACTGTCGCTCCCGACCTAGTTGCTCTGGACCTGGCTGCTGCTGCTCCGGGCCTGGCCACTCCCAGCCTGGCAGCTGCTGCTCCGGGCCTGGCCTCACCAGACCCGGCTGCTCTGGGCCTGGCCGCTCCCAGCCTGGCAACCGCTGCTTCAGACCTGGCCACACCAGACCTGGCTGCTCCGGGCCTGGCCGCTCCCAGCCTGGCAGCTGCTGCTCCAGGCCTGGCCACACCAGACCCGGCTGCTCCGGGCCTGGCCGCTCCCAGCCTGGCAGCCACTGCTCTGGGCCTGGCCCTCCCAGCCTGGCAACCGCTGCTCCGGGCCTGGCCGCACCAGACCCAGCTGCTCTGGGCCTGGCCGGCTGCTGGCTTTTTTAAGCCAAAGGGAGACTGCTCCTGACTGCTCTGAACTCCAGTTCCAGGCGACACTCTGGGAATCCAGACTCATGGGAAAAAAATTGGACTGTCTGGCAACAGGTGGAACTCAAGGGTGGTTTTCTTTCAGAGGTACTTGAAGCAATTACCACAGGACACTGAGCGGGGGCCTTTTAGGGCAGGGCTGATGGGATGCCATTGCTGTTGGCTCCACCCTGAGTATCCACCCCATCCAAGTTGAGTGCAGAAGCTTTTTCATATGAATGGCCTGGTTCTTTGAAATCTAGACTTACCTATCAAACTGCAGCTGAGTCAGAGAGACTCAAAACATCCAAAAGAAGGTCCAAGGCCCCACATCAGCTTGCCTCATCTGAACACCTCCAAAACCCAAAGAAAGAAGAGCTACAGATTTCTCTGTAGCTCCTGATAGATGGCCTCAGGCAGAGGCTAAATTATCACCTCCTTAGAGATCCAAGAGCCAGTGTACCCAGGGGTCTGAGTAGGACCATTCAGATTACAACTCCTCAGATCCAGAAGCAGCACTCTCAAGGGGCAGACTCATTGAGCACCAAAGTCAAACTGAAGATACTCATAAGGGTATCTCCAGCCAGAAATTCTCCCATTGAAGACACATACGGTTCTCACAGCCAATTGGCCTAGAGGTCAATTCCTCCCAGTGATACCAACAACAAACAAGGCTTAATTACAACAAAGCTGTGCACACAGCCCAGAAAGGGATGCACCAAGAGTGTCCACCTCAGGTAACTGGGGAGACTGAGCCACTGGGCCCTATAGGACACCTAGCACACAAAACCACTTTATCAACTCAGGGAAGCAGCCAAAATGCAGAGACAAAGAAACAGGTCATAAATGAAATAAATGGAGGAAAGCGAACTACTAGTTATAGAGTTCAAAACCATAGTTATGTTTTTCAAGAATTTTCTAGAAAAGGCTGATAAATTTAGTGAGACCCTCAAAGATATAAAAAAGGACCAACTAGAAATTAAGCATACAGTGACTGAAATAAAAAAATAATCTATAGAGCTTCAACAGCAGACTAGAGGATCGTAAAAATGAAGTCAAAGATTTGAAATATAAAGAAGCAAAACAACACCCAACCAGAAAAGCAAAACGAAAAAAGAATAAAAAATATGAAGATAGTGCAAGGAGCCTCTGAAACAGCTTCAAGTGCACCAACATCCAAATTATGGTGGTGCCGGAGAAGAGAGAGAGCAAAATACTGAAAAACCTATTTGAGAAAACAATCACTGAAAACTCCCCCACCTGGTGAAATAAATAGACTTACAAGTCCAAAAAGTGCGCATAACCCCAAACAAGAGGAATTCAAAGAGGATGACACCAAGATACATCATAATTAAAATGCTAAGAATAAAAGACAAAGAGAGAATATTAAAAGCAGCAAGAGAAAAACAGTTACCTACAAAGGAATACCCATATAATTGTCAGCTGATTTCTCAACAGAAATTATGAAGGCCAGACGGGAGTGGCAAGAAATATTCAAAGTGATGAATAACAAGAACCTACAACCAAGATTACTCTACCTAGCAAAACTATCATTCAGAATGGAAGGTCAGATAAAGAGCTTCACAGACAAGAAAAAGCTAAAGTAATTCATCACCACCAAACCAGTATTATATGAAATGCTGAAGGGTATTTTTTTTAAGAAGAGGAAGAAGTAAAAGGTAAAGAAAAAAAATTATGAACAACAAATACATATCTATCAATAAGTGAACCTAAAAATCAAGTGAATTAAAAACCTGAGGAACAGAATAAACTGGCGAATATAGTAGAACCAGGGGCATAGAAAGGGAGTGGACCTACAATCCTCGGGAGGAATGGTTGTGAGGGGTATGGGAAGAGACTGGACAAAAATCATATACCTATGGATGAGGACAGTGGGTGGTTAAGGGCATGGGGTGGAGTAGGGTGGGAACTATGGGGGTGTGGATAGAGGAACAACTGTAATTATATTTGAATAATAAAGATTTTTTTTTAAAAAAAAGAAAGGACAAAAACACAAACAAAAATATATAAAATAAAATGAGTAATAGTAAAAATATAATCCCAATGAGTCTTTTATTGGAAGTGGATAAAATAATTTAAAAATTCTAATGAAGTGATGCAATTAAAAAATGGGCAATGGACCTAAATAGAATCTTTTCAAAAGAAGACAGAAGGAAGGCCAAGAGGCACAAGAAAACATGCTCAAAGTCACTAATTATCCAAGAGATGCAAATCAAAACATTAATGTGGGACCTTCTCAGACCTGTCAGAATGGCTATCATCAACAAATCAGCAAACGACAAGTGCTGGCGAGGATTCGGAGAAAACGGTACCTTGTGCACTGCTGGTGGGAATACAGACTTTAGTGCAACCACTGTGGAGAACAGTATGGAGTTTCCTCAAAAAACTGAAAATAGAACTCCCATTTGACCCAGTAATCCCACTCATAGGAATATATCCTAAGAAACTAGAAACACTAATCAAAAAGGATGTATGCACCCCTATGTTCATAGCAGCACAATCTACAATAGCTAGGATTTTGAAACAGCCAATGTGCCCGTCAGCAGATGATTGGATCAAAAAACTATGGTGCATCTACACAATGGAATACTATGCTGCCATAAAAAAGGAATTCTTATCATTTGCAGCTACCTGGATGGAATTGAAGAACATTATGCTGAGTAAAATAAGCCAGTCGATGAAGGGAAAACACCACATGATCTCACTCATTTATGGATATAAGGAATGTTATAAACTGATGAACAAAAAGATAGATATAGAATCAGTAAAGAAACAAACAGACAGTCAAATTACAGCGGGGAGGGGAGGGAGATATGAGGAGATAAGAGATCAACCAAAGGACTTGTATGCATGCATATAAGCATAACCAATGGACGAAAAACTCTGGGGAGGGAGGGCATATATGGGAGTAGGGGGGTGGGGATTGGTAAGGTATGTACACATACAATACCTTAATTTAAAAAAATGAGAAAAAATTCTAATGACACATTTGTTTTGATTTACAAAACTGTATATTAATAACATAGCTCTTAATTTCCAAATAATTAAGTTACTGAATATTGTAATTCAAAGATTGCTGGAGCACAGAACTAGATCTGAAGATGAGCATTTAATATATAATAAATAATATTTTAATTCAGTAGAAGATGAATAGTTTAATAATTGGTCCTGAAATAATTGGCTTTATTTATGAATATAAAGCTGTATATGGTCCAGTGTCAGATCATATACAATAATTAATTCCAGATGAATTAAAATGTTAAATCTGCCGAAACCGGTTTGGCTCAGTGGTAGAGCGTCGGCCTGCAGACTGAAAGGTCCCAGGTTCGATTCCGGTCAAGGGCATGTACATTGGTTGTGGGCACATCCCCAGTAGGGGTTGTGCAAGAGGCGGCTGGTCAATGTTTCTCTCTCATCGACGTTTCTAGCTCTCTATCTCTCTCCTTTCCTCCTCTCTGTGAAATATCAATAAAATATATTAAATAAAATAAAATAAAACAAAATAAAATAAAATGGCATTAGAGCAACACAAGGAAACATCAGGAAGCCATTAAAGGATCTCTATTTACTGAATGCAAAATTGTTCGTGGGTGTTTTTACAATAAGAAAACCTAAATTTTGTAAAAAGCAAAATGTAAATCATCGTCAAAAATAAAGAAGCCACTTCTCTGTTATTGAAGGTATTTTAAAAATAAAGGTATTTAACAAACCATGATGTAAACAGTCAGACTTTACAATCATATAAATTTAAGATGAAATAAGATCAAGAATATAACTATAGACAAATTAGGGAGGAATATGAAAATCACAGGATTACATTTCAGCACAAATCTCTGATGTTTCAGGTTATAAAGGTGTCAAAAGCTCTGTCATTTTCAATACATGCTAGGTTGAGTTATCTGATGTCAAGAGAAATACAAATTTTATTAAAGAACTTCCAAAATATACTCTACTTACGGGTGTTTTTCTTACATTTTTCTTGGGATAAATAAGCTGTAGTCAACAAATAACGTTTATACATTACCCTATTTAGAAAGATTATTATCAAGATTAATTCTCTGATGTTGAATAGTTTTGAGCTATAATTAAAAGCTTTCACACATTTCATATATTCTGTGGTTTTTCACCAGTACAAATTTTGATTTTGAGTAAGTTGTGAGCCATAATTAAAGGTCTTGCCACATTCCCTATATTCATAGGGTTTCTCACCAGTATGAATTCTCTGATGACTAATAAGTTGTGAACTCTGAGAATAGGCTTTCCCACATATCTTACATTCATAGGGTTTCTCACCAGTATGAATTCTCTGGTGTCGAGTAAGGTCTGAACCAGAACGAAAAGCCTTTTCACATTCCTTACATTCATAGGGTTTCTCACCTGTATGGATTCTCTGATGTTTAATAAGTTGTGAACTCTGACTAAAGGCATTGCCACATTCCTTACATTCATAGGGCTTCTCCCCTGTGTGAATTCTCTGATGTTGAGTAAAGTTTGAGCCACTACTAAAGGCCTTCCCACATTCTTTACATTCATAGGGCTTTTCACCAGTGTGAATTCTCTGATGTCTGGTGAAGTTTGAGCCACTACTAAAGGCCTTCCCACATTCTTTACATGCATAGGGTTTCTCACCAGTGTGAATTCTTTGATGTCGAGTAAGGTCTGAGCCATAAATAAAGGTTTTTCCACATTCTTGACATTCAAAGGATTTCTTGCTAGTATAAATTTTCTGATGATGGCGGAGTCTTGAGGGATGTCTGAAGGCCTTTCCACATTCCTTACATTCATAGGGTTTCTCAATGGTATGAATAACCTGATGTGTAGCAAGCTGTGAGTCGTGTCTAAAGGTTTTCCTATATTCTTTAGTGGCACAGTATCTCTCTTTATTATGAATGATTTGCTGTAATATAAAGGATGGATGCTGATTAAAAGTGGGCATGCTTTCATGGGTATATATTGGTTGACTAAAATTTCCCTCCTGAGAGCCATGTTGTTTCCCAAACTGGTCATTACATTCCCAATTATCTCTGAAACTAGAGCACTGAAGGTCACGTCTTGTAAATCTTCCCATTATCTCCCGCTGGGCTGGCTCTATTTCATTAATTTCCTTCTTCAGAAATAATTTCTTGGTTTCACATCTTGATCCCAGGACTGAAAGAAAATATGAAAGCAATCACTCACAGTTTTATTGTTTGGGAGAAATAAAACTTCAATTGAAATGTAAGAATTAAACCATATAATGGACTAGAAGAGTGAAAAGAGATCACATAGTAATATGAAGGCAGAAAGTAGGCCATTGGTTTGCAAGCATTGCCATAGGTAGGAATTATCGGGTCTAGTAATAATTAATGTCGTTTTTAAACATTCGTTTAAAATCTTGCTTAGCGTTGACTTGTATTGACATAACCTTCAAACACATGGTATCTACAGAACGTGTGAAGTGCAATTAACAAGTTTTGCTTGAAAAAGTTTGTTTGGTTTGGTTTTTGTTGCAAAACTAGGGCTAAGAAGATGGCGGATGAAGAGCATAATCGGCACTGCATGCTTTACGAGTTCCAATTAGGAAGAAAAACAAGTGAGGCTGCAAAAAACATCTGTAGTGCTCTTGGTCAAGATGCAGTTAGCGCCAGAAAATGCCAGCGTTGGTTTGAGAAATTTTGCGAGGGAAATTTTTCGTTAGATGACAAGAGTGGTCGAGGCCAGTTGTCCAATTTTGATCAAGAAGCTCTTCAAGCTCTTTTGGTGCAAAATCCTCAAATTACCCAACAAGAGCTTGTGACAACTTTAAATTGTTCACAAAAAAACAATTTCCAATCAATTGCATGCACTTGGCAAAGTCCAAAAGTTTGGAAAATGGGTTCCTCATGAGTTGACCGACAACAACCGTAATCAAAGAGTCACAATTTGCAGTTCGCTCCTCTCTCGTCAAAACCATTTGCCGTTTTTAGAGCAAATTGTTACCGGAGATGAAAAATGGGTGCTGTATGTTAATTTGAAAAGGCGGCCTCAATGGTTGGACAAAAATGAGGCTCCGCAGCCCACGCCAAAACCTGACTTGCATGCGAAAAAAGTGATGTTGTGTGTTTGGTGGAATTTTAAAGGAATTCTTCATTATGAACTTTTACCATCTAACCAAACCATTACAAGTGCAGTGTATAGTGCCCAATTGGAAAGGTTAGCCCAAGCTTTAAGAGAAAAAGAACCCGCGCTGATTAATCGGAAGGGCGTAATTCTTCACCACGATAACGCACGACCGCATACTGCAAGAATCACTGCTGAAAAACTGTGCCAGTTGGAATGGGAAGTTCTCCCTCAACCTGCATATTCTCCTGATATTGCCCCTTCCGATTACCATTTGTTTCGTTCTTTGCAAAACTTTCTTCTTGGAAAAAAATTTAATAATGAAGAATGCCTCAAAAATGCATTGACTGAATTTTTTGCATCAAAATCACAAGAATTTTACAACAGAGGGATTAAAATGCTTCCTGAGCGTTGGGCACAAGTAGTAGAAAACAACAGCAACTATATTGTTGATTAAATTTTGTTGTATTGTTTAAATAAATTCGATTTAAAAAAGTATTAGAAAACGACATTAATTATTACTAGACCTAATACAAAGGGGAGCTTGCTAAATATACACATAACTTAGTCTTCTCTCCTTTGTTATAAGATGACTCTAATCACTCACATACACACACGTACTGTATACATACAGTATAAGAGCATTACACTGCATAAAGTATAAAGTATGGGAAATTATCATATTTAAATTAATATGATAGAATTAAATTAATATGTAGGGAAAATTCTAAGGGGTAGGGGAAGTATACCTGCAGCACTGCAACAATTGTTATAAGTAAAGTTTTATTGGAACGTAGCCAGAGTTATTTATTTATATAATGTCTATGGCTATTTTTTGAGCTACAATGGCAGAAGTGAGTAGTTGCAACAGAGACCACTTTGTCTACAAACCAAATACCTAAATCTGAACCTTTATTTTTTAAACATATGATTTTATTGATTTCAGAGAGAGGGAGAGGGAAAAAGAGAAACATCAGTTATGATAGAGAATCACTGGCTGGCTGCCTCCTGCATGCCCCCTCTTATTGAGCCCACAACTCAGGTATGAGTCCTGAACAGGAATCAAACTGTGACCTACTGGTCAATCTCACCCTTTAAGAAAAAGTTTACTAGCCCTTGGTTAGATCTGTGTTGGCCATTACAGTACCTACTAACATTATCTGTTTAAATTAAACTTAGTTAAAATTAAATAAAAATTCAAATTCACTTTGCATTATTCACATTCCCAGTATTCAATAGCTAACTGTGGCTAATGGCTACCATACTGGAAATCACAAATATAGAACATTTCCATTATTGCTGAAAGTTCTATTTGACAGCATTTTTCTAGATTCAGTAACTAGAGGTCCAGGGTCTCTTTAACAAGTGATAAAGAAATAGAGGGCATCAATTCAGATGGGAGAATAGCTTTAAAAAGGTCAGATGTTGAATGAACCTAGCATGAGTAGTAGATAGGAAGGATTCTTTGGGGGCTAGATAATATGTTTGGGATTTGATGAAAATACTATTTGCCTTGTAATTCTCTGATGCTGACTTTAGAAGAAAGAAACTGAACACATACATGCACAAGCACTATAGTGGTACTGACCAACTGACAGGAAGGGCTTTTGTAGGTTCAAAGAGAATATAATGAAAGATAGTATATTGCTATTGAAAGATCAAAGTATAAGAATCAGTTATATGAGTTCTTTATCTTAAACTGCATTAATTATAAGCACTTTTGTCCTTGGCAAATTAGTTCATCTTTCTGAGTCTCCAACTCTCTGTCTGTAACATAGGAATGATAGCTAATGCTTACAATTATTGTGAGAATTGGAAATAGTATATGAATTGTATTTAGTATAAAATAACTGTTTTGTACTTGAGAGATAGTATTATGAACAAATTTCTATACAAGCATGGGAATAGAGAATGAAGATGGCGGCGTAGGTAAACACACCTAATCTGCTGCCATGCACAACAATTTCAAAAATAAAACTAAAAAATAAAATTCTATCACCCAAAACCCAAGGGAAAGATGGCTGGAAGGAAGCCCTGCAACTAGACTGAAAGATAAAGAGGAGAATTCAGGCACAAGCACTGAAAAACTGAGGTGGGGTGGGGGGGGAGGACACGATATGGGCTGGCGGTGGATCCGGCTGGCGGAGGGTGTTGCTTTCTTCAACCTGAAGAGAGACAAGCTCCACATCTCTCTGAATTCCAGTTTTTGGGAAAGGCTAGACTGTCTGCCATCGGGTCGGAAAGTGAGGGTGGTTTGCTTGCAGAGCTGCACACAAGAATATTTGTTTGCTGTGTGAGGAGAGCGAGACACGGGGAGACGAGGGACTCAGAGAGGTGGTGGATGGGCAGCCATCGCTGTTGGCCACGCCCCAGCCAAATGACACCCAGAGACGCTGCCCTGAGACTCCACCCCATGCAACCTACAAACAACACACCCAAGCTCCAAGCACTGGCTTTTGCATATGAATGGCCCTCTCTGTTGCAGTTTAACCTAACAAACTGTTAAAGTCCAAGGAGGAAAGGACTGTGGTTATCGCTGTAGCTCCTGCAGGGTGGCCTAAGACAGTAGCTGAACTATTACACTCCATTGGAGACTCAAAAGCCAGTGTTCCTAGTGCTCAGTTTTAACCCCTCACACCCATAAGTGACACATTCAGGAGATGGACTCAGTGAGCACCAAAACCCCACTGAAACAAGGCATGTCTCCAGGACAACAGATCTTTCTTTATAGACACAGAAGATCGTCACAGACAAGTGGTCTGGAGGTCAATTCCTCCCAGTGTATCAACAGCAATCAAAGCTTAATTACACCAAGTCTTTTGCACTCAGCCCACAAAGGGATATACCAAAAGCAACAACCTCAGGTGATTGGGGAAATTGAGCTACTGGCCCCTATAGGTCACTGACCACACAAAGCCACTCCATCAACACATGGAGGCAGCCAAAATGAGGAGACACAGAAGCACGTCACGAATAGAGAGAGAGAGGAAAATAAACTACTGGACGACAGAGTTCAGAATCACACTTATAAGATTACTCAAGAATCTTCTAAAAACCTTTGAGAAACTTGATGAGAACTCCAAGAAGCTTTGTGAGACTTTCAAGGACCTTAATGAGAATACAAAAAAAAAAAAAAAAAAAAAAAAAGGAAAAGGACCAGCCAGAAATTAAGCACACACAGTCTAAAATAAAGAATATACAGAAACTCAACTATAGGCCAACGTGCCCCAAGAATCAAACCAAAGATCACGAATATAAGGAAGCAAAAATCACCCAAAAAAGAGATGCAAAAAGAAAGAAGAATCCAAAATTGTGAGGATAGTATAAGGAGCCTCTGGGGTGGTTTAAAGCGTACAAACATCCGAATTTTGGGGGTGCCAGAAGAAGAGAGCGAGAAGATATTGAAGGCATATTGAAATAAATAATGACAGAAAACTTTCCCTACCTGGTGAAAGAAATAGACTTACAAGTTCAGGAAGTGCAGAGAACCCCAAACAAGAGGAATCCAAAAAGGACCACACCAAGACACATCATAATTAAAATGCCAAGGGCAAAAGACAAAGAGAAAATCTTATAAGCAGCAAGAGAAAAATAGCTAGTTACCTACAAGGGAGTACCCATATGACTGTCAGCTGATTTATCAACAGAAACTATGCAGGCCAGAAGGGAGTGGCAAGAAATAATCAAAATGATGAACTACAAGAACCTATGATCAAGATTACCCAGCAAAGCTGTCATTCAGAATTGAAGGTCAGATAAAGAGCTTCACAGACAAGAAAAAATTAAAGGAGTTCATCAACACCAAACCAGGATTACATGAAATATTGAAGGGTATTCTTTAAGAAGAGGAAGAAGAAGAAAAAGGTAAAGGTAAAAACTATGAACAACAAAAAGACATCAAATACATATGTACCAAGAAGTGAATCTAAAAATCAAGTGAATAAAAAATCTGAAGAACAGCCAAATCCGGATTGGCTCAGTGGTAGAGCGTCAATCTGCAGACTGAAAGGTCTCAGGTTCGATTCCGGTCAAGGGCATGTACATTGGTTGTGGGCACATCCCCAGTAGGG